AGAATACGACCACCCAGAGCGAAGAAACGAACACAAATAAGAAAGGGAAGAATTTTCAAGACAAAGAAAAAAAGATTTCACTAGAAAAGAACTAAGAAAAATAAAAAATCCCCCCCCCAAAAAAAAACGTCCAACTGTAAAACAAAAAAGAAAACAATGGAACAGAATGAGTAAGAATTGCATAGATTCCACAAGGGCATCCAACCCAAGTGTATTAATCGATATTTTCAAACGTCCGTTGGGAATTTAATTAGTTTATCGATTTTTTCTTCAGGCGTCTTTTCATTCGCCCATTATTTCCCGAATCAACAAACCATTTTGTAGAAGACTTTCACTACATCACACGTTAAATATCATGGCATAAAAGACTCAGAATCTGATCTCTCCAAGAGCAATGTTAAGGATCAAAGATCAATAATGTAACACGCGATGGCCAGTCCGAAAAAAAAGTTCAATTGTTGTAACGGAGTTCAAGCAACTTGTTACATCTCAATCTTCAAAAGACTACAAAAATATTAACTCACGTTTTAGCAATAACAAAAGAAAAGCCCAGCCGACCATCAATATTTTACTTGTAAAATACTTTATTTCAAAAGCACGTGTAAAAGTAAGTTGTACTTGTTGCAAAATGCCTTAGACAGATCTTTGAAAGGTATCCCAAACTTTTGCCGACTTTAAACTCTTAACTTTTATAAAGATCATCTTCAGGGTAAATTATAAAGACAACATATTTAACTGGGATAAAATATAATTTTCTCCGGAAGATGATCTTAGAAAATGTCGAAAGTACTTAATTAAAAAAAAAAATACTTCGAGCCTTCCTTTATTAATTTCATCTCAACATCAAGAAATTGATTGGACAATCGGAATGGATCAGTATAAAAATAAGTAGACCCAATATGTCTATATTATTCAAAAAGTACTGGAAATAAATGAATATGCATCAATATGGTAATTTTCTTTCTTCCTTTATTACGGATACTAAGACACGGGGCACGTTTGAATAATGGATAGCGGTTCGGATGGGGGAGTCGGGGAGCTGAGTTTGAATTCCAGTTGAATCCATTGCATTCACTGACGTGCTAATGCTCTCTTCTCCCCCCCCGCCAGCTATGGGTAAATAGCAGGACGGATCGGGTTCTGTAGCCTTGGATGGCAACGGCAGAAAGAAATGGCAACCTACTGCGGGAAAAAATCTGCCTCGTCAGTCATTTATCGAAAGATACATGATCGCATAAGTGTGTATCACGCATGGCATTTAAGTGATTGACGATATTCAGTCACCTCCCACGAGGTTGTCATGTGGCACAAGGCCTTTAAAATAAGTGACTGACGACAACATTGCCTCTTTTATCACACTGTCAGGACATCAACATTGCTCTTCCTGGGTTAAAAGATTAATTTTTGTTATATTTTAAACTTAAAGTAAATAATATTTATTCCAAATTAGATTAATTATATTTTAATTCAGTCAATATTCCTCAAATATAGTTTCAGTGAAGCATACTGGTATTATTTTTTATGAAGAGAATTCCATTGCGATGAAAGAGGACTAAACAAGGGTGTAATCAGCTATTTTAGTAAGAAAAAAAATCCTTCCAGTCAATTGAAATTAGTTTTTGAAACGCATCAAATTATTTTGATTATTGGAAATATTAAATTTAATCACTTCACTTGCAATCAGAATTAAAATAAAAGATTCAAGGAAGATTTTTCATTTTTAAAAATTCATTTTAAACCTAAAGAATTACGTTTTTGTGATGATCCTTACATTAATGCTTACTGTTCAAAAAAAAGGACGATTGAAATTAATTATGTAATATGTAATTCCCGCCAGGAAAAACTGGCATATATGAATAAAATTTAAAGTCCATCAGAAACCTTTGGTTTAAGAATAATTGATCTGTGGTGACCGCAGTATGTACAAGGTTTACTCTAAGAGATACCAGAGGACGATGGCGCATGTTGACCGAGAAAGAATTGGTCCTCTCGGAATCTTGATATGTGCACTCATATAAACAGCAAGTGAACCCAACTGAACTTATGATTTACGCCCACGGGACATAAACAAAACGTTATGAATCGACTAGGAAAGAAGGCAGAATATCTCCCATTGTCGCAAGATCAAACTTCAGAAAAAAAAATCAAAAACCCCATACCACTCGATTTAGTTGACGTTAATTTTGCAGAGTCTATAAATGAAGAAACACATATTTTACGCATGAAAAATGTATTGCTATCAGACGTTACCAACTTAACATTACTTTGAGTTATAGATAGGAAAAACCCGTTTGTTTTTTTTTTGTTTCTTTTTTTGGCGGGGGGTCGCGAAATACATATCTCATATCCTCTGGCACGCATAATCAGTGATGGTTCCACAGTGGATTTCGAATCTTAGAATATTATATCCATTCTCCACAGCGACCTAGTCGATATGGATCACCCGTATGCCAGCCGTTAGTTACAGTTATTCTCATAATGGAATGCTCCTAACCCAATGCGGCGAAAAAACTCCTTTTATAGTTCAGCACATACGCATAAAAAATCCCCATTTATTTGTTGAGCGAGGAAAAAGAAAACAAAAGAAAACTGTAATCCTGGTGAGGTGGTAAGGAAGTGCAGTTCACCTGTAGATAACGATGGTTCTGGGTGCCCTAATTCTGTTCCTTGTTGGTCGGATGTAATTTAAGGTCATATCCAACACCCAATTTCCACTCTTCTAATATATATATAATTAATACTGGATTTTTATTTTTAACGTTTAATAACAGATTTTTCGGTTGATATTAATGGGTTAAATATATTTACGCTTTTCAGTGAGTGACAATCTTAGTTTAATTAGGTATGTTGTAATTAATTTGGCAATAAAATCACAGTTTGGTTTGGATTGGCTTGGTTTGTTTTGATTTAAGGCATATCAATCTCAATGGGATATATATAATGCCGACAAGATTTTTATTGCTGGTAATATTTTTTTCAGAAATTTATTGTTGGCAATATTTTTTCCAAAATGTATTGCTGATAATATTTTTTTTTTCAAAAAGATATTGCTCGTAATATTTATTTTTTCAAAAATATATTGCTGGTAATATTTCTTTCAACAATATATTGCTAGAAATATATTTTTTTAAAAAAAAAATGTATTACTGGTAATTTTTTTTTTAATGCTGGTAATAATGTATTGCTGGTAATAATGTTTTATTCAAAAATTCATTGCTGGAAATAATTCTTTACAAAAGTGTATTGCTGGTATTAAAACCTATTTTTTACATTTTCATAGCGTTCTAACCCAATTTTAGGGTTAACTATTTACCCAACTGGGACTCTAAAAGGTGCTACCACCACGGGTCAGAGTGAACCTGAGGATACCAGCATTTAAGAGGTGGTTCCCCGCTCCTCAAAACTTCCTGATCAGAAGCCTTGTTTATCGTCTTACCCAGGACGCGGATGTAGTTTATCGTCTTACCCAGGACGCTTCATTTGGAGGATCTTACCCCTCGGCAGATTTGCAGTCAGTATATTATGAAGCCCCAGCCGATAGGGCGTGTAAAATCTCGACATTGCATTTCAATAGTAAATATATACATTTTTTCAGACGTTTCTTTTTATTTTTTTATCGCAGATCTTCGTTGTTTCTCATTTTTCATTCATGTACTGAGGCGATGTTTTCTTCAAAATAAACAGTGAATAACGTAAGCGATTTTTTTAATTAACTGGCGATGAATAATAATAATGATATCTGTACATTAGTAAACAATTTAAGATAAAACGAAATCATAAATCTTACCTCTCTAAACGAATTAAGATAAAGCGAGATCATAAATCTTATTCCTCTAAACGAATTAAGATAAAGCGAGATCATAAAAATTACCCCTCTAAACGAATTAAGATAAAGCGAGGTCATAATTCTTATCTCTCTAAACGAATTAAGATAAAGCGAAATCATAAATCTTAACCCTCTAAACGAATTAAGATAAAGCGAAATCATAATTCATGCCCCTCTGAACGAATTAAGATATAGCGAGATCATAAATCTTACCCCTCTAAAAGAATTAAGATAAAGCGAGATCATAAATCTTAACCCTCTAAACGAATTAAGATAAAGCGAAATCATAAATCTTAACCCTCTAAACGAATTAAGATAAAGGAAATCATAATTCATGCCCCTCTGAACGAATTAAGATATAGCGAGATCATAAATCTTACCCCTCTAAAAGAATTAAGATAAAGCGAGATCATAAATCTTAACCCTCTAAACGAATTAAGATAAAGCGAGATCATAAATCTTAACCCTCTAAACGAATTAAGATAAAGCGAAATCATAATTCTTGCCCCTCTAAACGAATTAAGATAAAGCGAAATCATAATTTTTGCCCCTCTAAACGAATTAAGATAAAGCGAGATCATAAATCTTACCCCTCTAAACGAATTAAGGTAAAGCGAAATCATAAATGTTACAAAACATCATTTTTTAAAATTTTACATAAGAGATCCCGATGATATTGGATTCGAGTTGCAATGTACATCATTTCTATAAATTCCCGCCTTTTTAAAATTAAAGTTACAAGGTTTACATCGACTGTGAAATGTAATATAGTCCTACATTCAAGCCCAGAAATAATTATTCATTTCTACAGCTAAATTTCAAGAAGGACAATTCTTTTAGAAAATTAACGAATTCACAATTTTTCTACTCTCTTAGAAAGCAATGTAATTTAACTCTGTTCATTTATTGATTTATTCATTTTTTCGGCTTATCAACCCTTTGCAGGTTATTTAAGGCCAGGAAATATTATTTCGATTGTAATATTTTGGGGTGGGGATATAATAATGATTTAAAGAAACAAATGTAAATAAATAAGAACAGGTGTATACATAACTTTCGCAAGGGTATTTGCGCCTAAATAAATACAACAGACCCAGCTGGAATTAGAATTCTGCTTCCGATTAGCAATTCCGAGTCGTTATCCATTACACCAACTGTACATCCAAGATTAGAGCATTTGTTATTCACAAGCGGTCACTCATGTAAGTACTGACCAGTCTCGACGTTGTTTAACTTCAGTGATCATATGTGAACCGGTGTTTCAACGTGATATGGCCGTAAGCTTTGCCTCTTTTCATTCCACAAAACTAAAATAAAATCTTAGCGATTCTAGTTTCTTTTATTTACGCTAGTCCGAGAAAAATTGCCTTGTTAATGTCAAAAATGCTTTATTTCACCATTTATAAGTTTATGAAAATATCGGTAATTACGTCATCGAAAATTTCTTCAACAGATTTAGGGAATGATGGAATCAAGTCCTTATGCGACAATATTTTATTAGCACATTAACTTTTTACTAGATTAAATTAAACTAAACATTACAATTGTAAATAAATAAATAATATATTAACCTTTACTAGAAAAATACATTTCAGATTATCTCGTTTTTCCAGAAATATTAAAGTGTGATGCATTTTTACAAAGTTTTCTGATAAAGTTTCAATGTAACTACTTTAGCGTTTTCTGAAAAAACTGATTTAAAAATACTTTTGTCTGCCATCTGCAACAGTTTTTTAGCGATTAGTGTCAACCGTTCAATTTTGCACTGCATTGTTAAAATTTATGAAGAATGAGATTTGCATTTCCATAAAAAACGAAAAAGACTGTGAGGATCCCAAAATGAAAAAAAAATTCCAACACCAAACCAGGAATCCACCTACAAAAGTCTTTGCCTTGTGTCAAGTTGAATATGAAAGATATCGTTCATTACGAGCCATTAGAGCATAGAAGGATTATTACTGTATATGATTGTTTATTAGCAACTTAATCGGGTAAACGAAACATTACGTCGAAAGGGCCCTGTTATCATAAAAAGAAAATCTCATTAGAAAAAAAAAAGTGTATTGAAGTATTATGTAATATCAGTCCTTCTATATGGAAGTGAATGCTGGGAAATCTCCTCACAGATAAAGAAGAGACTTTGAAGCAACAGGAAGAAGATGTGGTTCGGTAGAAGGATCCAGAGATTATCATGGACAGAAAAAGTGAGCCACAATGAAGTTTTATAGAAAATGGAAACAAAAAGACAATGATAAAGTCAGAAAGCGACAGTGAAAATTTCTTAGGCTAATAATGAAGAAAGAAAGTTTGGCGAATTTCGCACTCACAAGGTGATGTAGCATACCTACGGACGATAGTGGGCACGTCAACATTAACATAGATACAGTAGTAAATACTGTATGTTTGTTCTGCAGTTGGAGATTCATTGTGGAATTCACTTGACTGACTTCAGCTGACTAATTCTTCTACGCACCGCTGGCGAATCTTATGTGTGTTGTTCTTGTTCTAACTATTATCGTTCATTACCAATCTTCGTTTGATTATTCTATTCAGTAACCATCCCTAGGTTACAACACAAGGCAAGTGGGATAGACGAAAGTCACACATAACCGGCCCAACGAGCTATTGACAGAAGAGTGATTAGGAGTGACAGCTAAAAAATAAATTTTACTAAGAGCTAAAAAGGAAAGGAAATTGTGGAGAGCTAGAATCGCCTGTGTCCGGAAGGGACACAACTCATAGAAGAGAAATAAAGAAGAGTTATTCTCTGGCACACACTGCAATAGAAACCAAAGAAAAAAATAAGATCGTTATGGCGGATGGTTCTGCCACATCTTTCATACTCCTCAGGTTTAAAACCTACAGATGTGTATTTATACAGATGTGTATTTATTTCGAATATCAGAACATTTCCTATATAACAGAAGATTGAGAAATATAGAAAAAGTTCAACACAGACTTTCAATCTCTTCCTAGGAAAATAAAAAGATTCCTTTAAACGTGGAATCAAACATTTATCTTTCTATTGGGCAACAAACATTAAAATGTTTGCTACATTTTTTATAAATATTATTTAAATAAATTTAACATATTTCTTTCATATCCTTTCTTGTAGCATGTAATTACTTTTCTAAATCTCTATTATTTTTACTTATATTATTTATATTATTCAGACGGTTATCCTTATCTTGCCATGCCTCTTCCGGATGTCTCAGTTATTTCCCTTTAACTCAACTCTCCAACATTTGGTTCCCCGCTGCTGTGGCCTGGTATTGAACTCACAGCATTTTGGGTCTTGTGACTGGATCTAATCAAAGTCTTTATCCACTGAGCCATGTCTCCTTTCGAAATTTCAATCACCTGAAGGAGTCCAGGGCGTAAAACGGCCGAAATATTGTGATTATGGCAATGAAAGTGAGGATAACAGTCCGAATAATGTAAATAATGTAAGTAATCATAATACCTCATCTCAGAGATATAGCCAGATCTATTATTTTTACATAACGACCTCGAAGATACCATTGCACACTGCGTTTCCGTTATTCAGACAAACGAAGGAAGTGCAAGTTAGTGGTTATCAGTCTGTAATCTTCTGCTTTTTCAATTTAAAAACTTCATTTTATAAAGCTCTGCTGCTTTATATTAACGATCTGCTTCAGAACATTGTCAGTTTGATTGTAAGTATATATGCAGATGATACTACGGTTTATGGGAGCACCTAAAAAAGTCTAGACAACCAGAGCCTTCCAGCTGACCTCTCCTCTGATCTAGCTCTCACAACTCAATGGGGGAAAGATCGTATCATTCAATATCTCTAAAATAAAGCAAGTAACGCGTCAGCACTCGCCGATCAGATTCTGGGATTTATTTCTTTCAAAAAGGTTCTTACCCTCGGGCGTCTATCAGGACTAAAGCTCATTCCAGGCATCAAGCGGATATCGGGCATTCTTACCAACGTTAAAGATGCTGAAAAAATAGTCGGTTCCTTTTCCTACTCTAGAACGAACCTGACTCCTACTGCTATATTCTCTTTATACACGTTACACATCAGACCAAAAATGAAGCATTGCTGCCATCTCTAGGCTAATACTGTTTTTTCTTTACTGCCCAGCCTTGACAGAGTTCAAAAGCGATTACGCGGCCATGTGGGTGATGATTTATTTTCCAAACGAAACATTGCTAGCCCCTCACTATTTCTATGATGAATGTTCACAACGAAATTTTTTACTTACTTCCACCAGTTGAGACTCGCATAGCTAGAATTCGCTATGCCACTTACAAAGTATCAACTTATCCTCATTCTTCTATCATTCTTTTTGTAATGAATAATGTCCACTTCTTCTTCTCCGAAACAGTGACATTTTGGAACAGACTCCCTAGAGAATGCTTTTCTGGCCACTACAATCGTAATCTCTTTAAATATAGGGCCAAACCTTAACTCTCCTGCATATCCTCATAACAGACATCTTTTCCTCCTCCTGTTACGTCCTAACAATCTCAAGCAGTAAACCTCTAAATTGAATGGCGCTTGGGTCTTGTATTAGGTTAACAATAATGTATAAAAATGTGTAGAAAGCTTGGTTTTTAATTCCAGCTGCTCTCAATTTTACGAAACTGATATAACATTGTAATCGAATCAATATCTCAGCGCTCGGTACGTTTGTTAATACAATTTCTAAAATGGTGTCTATTGATTTGAATGCTCTTAGTTTGGTTTTATAATAGAATAAGGTGTAATCATAACAGTGGAGAGATCAAAAAAGATATGGAAAATAAACACACAAGATAAAAATAAACAAATCTAAGTTCTCTATCATGTCTAGACAGTTTTTTGGTCACTTTCCAACAAGCTGGAATGGAAGCTACCGAGACAAGGAGTGAGGGTAGAAATCGCGGGTGGAATTTAGGATGGCTCCAAATGATATGTATGGATCTTCTCCAGAAAATGCTACAGTTTCTCCGGTCTTTTATTCCTTTCTTTTTCTCGTCCTTTATTTAAAGTTTATTTTTCTTCAGAATAGCTACTTAACCAAGTCGCCGCTATCGTTAACTTGTTTTGTCTTTATCACTTTCTCTATACCAGATATAACAGCAAATTGTCATAACGGATTGATCATTAAATTTCCAAGGATTCTGCGCTGATCTTGCCAGCCGTAGATCTTCTAATAATTTAAAAATATTCTTAATTCAAATTTTCATTTAAAAATTTTAAATGTACACGTTGTGATTTCTGAAGAATTTTTAATCAATATGTATACACATATATATATATATATATATATATATATATATATATATATATATATATATATATATATATATATATATATATATATATTTTTTTATTTTTAAAGTGCTTAAAACACAATTCAGAAAAATTGAATTTGTAGGCATGTTAATAAAATATAAGATTAGAAAAAATCCACGCACAACTACCCTGACGAGACTGTAAGTTTGAAAACAGGCTAGTGCGTAAATTGTTACTAATCTTATATATATATATATATATATGTATATATATATATATATATATGTGTCCATTTAAAATGAGAATGTATAGAGTCCAATTAAAAAAGTATATATATATATATATCCATGTAAAATGTGAATGAATAGAGTCTAATTAAAAAAAGGTATATATATATATAATTATAATTTAGGCTCTACTTTTGTATTGAGCACTGTTTTGTAACAAAACAAAAATACTAAAGAATTTCGGATTATTTACCTAACGTTTTCTGTCCTATTTTTCTACATATTTGCACACACACACACACACACACACACACATACATACATACATACACAGACACACACGCACACACACACACACACACACACAAACACACACACACATATATATATATATATATATATATATATATATGATAAAAATTATTAGGATTTGAAATAATCATAATTAATTAATTCATTGAGTTTAGAAGAAACTTCAACAGAATGCAGAAAGCACTGTATGGCCATTTCGTCCTATTTGGGGACTAATCAGCAGATATATATATATATATATATATATATATATATATATATATATATATATATATAGTAAAGAAAGATCATCAGCGTATGTTTCTTCTATTTAATTAACTAGATGTAAACGTAACTACTATGCTAATAGTTTCTTTTCTTGCACTTCTCGCTTGTAGAATTTTCTTCCATCTACACGCTTTTCAGACAGCTTTGATCTTGAAAAATATAAATGCAAAGTCAATCATTATCTGTCTTCCAGATTAATCTTCTATCGTACTCACTCCTTAATTATG